CCCCAGATTATCCCATGGTTAAAGCCAAGAAGTCCATTGTGGGTTATTGTGCAAGGCCTGTTGTGCGTAAATATGCAGGCATATGGTGGATGTTTGTAGGGTTAAACATCAGCGGCTGAGGCCGAACAAAGAAACTGCTGGATTTCGGGGTGTTTTTGTGGTGTGTTTTCAGTACAAGAATTTTGTTGGAAAAATATTGATACATGGGGGCGAGGAGAGTTTTTTTTTTTATTTGTTAGATAACTAGTAAATTACATGTGTGTAGCCTAGATTTTTCAGATTTGGGCATAAAAGACAAATAAAGTGTCAATCTGAAAGAAAAAAGGTTAAGATACTTGCATTTATGCCTAAAAGTTATTGTTAAAAATCAATTAGTGAAGAAGGGAAAGAGTTCAAATATGAATTAACTAAACCAAAATGTTCAGATATTTAAACGATACATTTTTGATTTTTGTTTTCAATATAGAGTTGTTAAAGTAACAATTTTAAAGGGAAAATACAACATTTGCTTAGTTTGCTGTAATTTTCAGAAATGGATGGATTTTGGGGGTTAGTATTGTATAGAAAATATTGTTACATTGACTTGTTTGATGTTTTGGGTTCGTAGATGCTGGAAAAAAACAACAACAAAAAACAATCATGCTCTTGTTGTCTGGTTCCCTGACCACGCTTAAGATGAAACAACAATTTATAGATGTCGGGGAATGGTAAGGTCAGGGAACCGGTCTGTACGTGTGTATGATAAATAAGTGTGTGTGATAAATACGTGTGTATGATAAATTGGGAGCAATATTTGAAAAAAAAGCCAGTTTTTTTCCAATGCTGTTTGGCCGACCAGCATTGGAAATTGATACTAAAATACCACTTTTCTTGAAAATGACAGCACACCAGGTGGTGCCATGATTTTACAGGATGCTTTATTCACTAACACAGTCAAGTAAGGTATTTCATAATAATTTGGTTGTTTTATTTTTTGATGTTTGCAAATGTTGTATATTTCCTTTTAAGTAAGCAGCAAACAAACATTGCTACCTTGAAATGTCATATTGCGGTTGAATTCTGTGTACACAGTGTGGATTGGTCAATACATCACATGAATCTGTGCTGGAATAAATCTTACATAAATATATACAAAAATGTATATATCATGAACATATATGCATATTTCAAATGTAAATATTTGAAAGTCCCTTTTGCACACAATACAGTCTAGTAAATATAAATATTATGTGACATGTAAATGCCCTGTGATATTTTTTTTTCAGCAAAGCATAGGAAACACATTATCATCACATGTGTTTTTCTTGTCTTTTGCAATTTGCTTCTTTAAACAAAGACAACTTGATTTTTTTTGGTGTTTATTTTTCCGCCCAAATCCTCCATACAAATGTGCGGATTAGTTATTCAAATCTTTGATAAATCCATGTCCTTGTGCACCCAACTGGGAAATTTCTCCGGTTTCTGCATAATTTAACGAGGTGCCAATCAATCAACGATTCCAGTCGATTGGGAATGTAATTATGCAGGGTTTAACATCGAACCGCACTTTACACGCTCGGCAAAATCAGACAATTTGCCTAATAGCCAAGGAAATTGCTTCACTGGATGTGAATGCACCCAGGCTCGTGGCTGACTGTATCGAATAAATGTGGAAAGGAAAAGTAAAGATAATGTCAACAGTAGGATGGGCAGGAAGGAATTTTGAAAAGACAGTGAATTAATGTTGTGAATCTAAACAAGCGTACCATAAAGAAGCTGATTGTATATTCCTAGCGCTGTAAAAACAAGAGAAAATTCATAGTATGCAGTTTTGGAGAGGCACAGGGCGAATACAAACTCATGTCTTGTGACAAATATTGTTTAGCCACACACTGAAGTTACAAAATAACATTTTTCATACATGTACATTAAAGGTAACATTTGTAAATATAAAAAAAACAAAGCTACCAAATTATTATGAAATACCTTACTTGACTGTAAGAGAATAATAGTCTCAAGCATCCTGTGAAATATATAAAAAAATATGACAACCCTAGAAATAAAGAGGAATGCCCTAGTAAAAGAAAACGAGCTGTAACTAAAAACGGGTTACTTGACGAAAGTTAATTGGTTTCCCATGTGGCTTATTAATTTTTGGAGTATGTATTAAATTTCCTTTATGCGATGGAATTAAAACAATGCGATATGACATCGGAACCGATACATAGACTTGCCTTCTGTAGCAGGCACAAATTTCAGCCGATACAAATCAGCTAGCTGCAGACAAAAAGGTAAAGACCTGGCATCTGTCAGCACCTCAAACCTAAACAATTTACACAACATACTTTTACAATTTACATGTAGACCGCAGGCTTTTTAAAAGTACAGTAAAAACAAAACCCAACAGTTTCATATGTACAGTGAAAGTGCAAACAGTATGATTGAGTTGAAAGTTTGAGAGGTCAAGTGAACCTCGACCTTTTGACCTCTCCGTTCTTTGTGCGCATGATGGAAGGTGCTACTTTCTACTCTGGGGGAAAAGCCTTACAGTCCCTAAACTTCAGTTGCTAAATACCATGGTAACACAAGAAAAACCCACTCTAATCTGATAAATTTCAGAAATACTTTTCCCTCACAGATTAGTTCTTGGTTGAAATAGACTTATTCACAAGTCTGCCATATTAAATTGAAAGCGAGGTAAACTCTATCTTTTTTCGGAACTTGCGAGTAGAAATGAAAGCAATGAAATGAACGATAATTACAAATTAATACCAGTCTACTGTGGTGATTAATTTAAAATGTGTGATTAAACGTACGCTAATGTTTTAAGCCACAATTAAAAAAAACCTTGAAAGTGAGGCTTGGAGTGCACTCCAATCATAAAATAGTCTGGCACCATCCCATTCAACAGTTTACAGTTTATAAAATAGATTCAGGGAACATGATCAAAAATGGCTTTCTCATGAGTAAGTTTTAGTGAAAACAGGACATTTAAGTGAATTCAGTGATAGTAATGTACAGAACATTTTGCCCAATCGGACAAACAGATTAATTTCTTTAAGGATTTAGTCATTCTTTGCCATACATGTTAGCGTAAAGAATTTTTTGTCCCCAAATATGTCAATACCTATGGTTACAGTTATGTCTGCAACAATTTATCAACGCCTCCACATGAAAGTGAATTGTTGATAAACAAACGGTTTTGTGTTACAGTTATTATTCATTTTTATACATGAAGTGGAACAAGTTGTCTCTAAATGCCTAAAAAACCATTATGTATACATGGACATGTATTTAAAGGTAGGGTAGATCATTTGTCATTTGTGCTTTTTTTTTTCGTTTGAAGCAACAAAAGTGCTCAAAATCTAAAGATGGGTGCTTAATTACTGGTAACAACTAACCTATGTGAATGCTGTATATTCCGAGAAAACAATATTCTAGGATCTCGATTTCAATTCAAAAGTTGCAGAGTCATGTTTTGAATTACGCCCGAAATAAGCGTCCGGGACACGTTCTCATTCAGCCGATTGCAGTTACACGATGTCACGCACCGAACTGACGAATGATAGCAACTGCGCACACGTGTGTATCTAGTCAACGCTTGCGCGCACACATTCACAAATTCGCCGAATTACAAATCAACTTTAAACAGAAATTTCCAAAAATGTGTCATTTGACGCATCTGTGGAAAATGCCTTCTTTCATTGTTTTCTTCAAAATGACAGCATGCCATCAATAATAATTTCACTGGGAGTTAAGTGTCATTACTATCTTTATACCAAGTAAGATTTCCAACAATAATTTTGTCAGTTACTTTTTGGATAGCTGCAAATAATCTTTAAGCAAGAATTTGCCCAAACTTCCAAAACAAAAAAGGATGTTCAAAAGGGCCTACAAATCACTCGATTTCACACAGTAAAATGCTTGGAATCCTATCCGAAAAAAAAAAAGGTGATCAAAACAATCTCAACATTAAGACACTGAACTACGGTATAAAGACCAGTTGTACGGCAACGCAGTTTTATCATTATCATACGTGATTGATCTGTTTTTGTGGATCAACCAAGTATAATGTTACTAATTAACATTCTGTCAGACAGAGATTGGTCATGGTTGGTGCACAGAAACACATGACTCGCTCTATGTATTATTGATGACTCGTTAACAGATGGTTAATTATTTACTAGGGAAGAAAATACCACCTGAAGTATTAGTATTTTCTAGGGCTGCCGCAAAAAACCTTATACTAAAGTGTTTCTTTTTCTCTTCATTAGTAAGATAAGAATGTATTTGAAGTTGTGTGCTTTTGTTCTTCAGCAAGTGCAATTTTTTTCTCCCAACGAATATTCTGTTTGAATGTTTTAGCTAAAAAAGAAAATAATAGTTTTATCTATTTTTTGACATTTTTAACCCTCTGAAAATATGCTTTTCTTTTTGGTTGTTTTGGCACCCATATTTTTTTTCAAACCTATTTTATTTACAAAACCGTAGAAGCACTGCGTGATTTCATTCGGGATTCGCATAGTTAAGTTTTGACTTTTTCAATGACTGCCCGCTATTTATTATGTAAATCATTGTTGATTTATCGTGTCAATCACGCCGGTCTGCAGACGTAATGGGCAGATGTCAGCCGTTGTGAAAAAGCTAAACGTTTAAACTTTCAAATGGTACTTAAAATAATTGCCAATCGCAATACTGAATAATTGCAATACTGAATGACATATATTGTAGATGATAATCTTTAGAGCTTGAAATTTCTCAACTAAACTAATTCAGTTGCTTGAAATAAATGTGACTATTGCTCAAAATGCCAGCCTGGTTCGACTCAATTGGGCTGGGCAGCCCAGAATTTCACGTAAGTCTAAAATTGATGACTGCTTTCTGGTTTTCATATGCGGTCTATCCGGTTAGCTTGTCTGCATGAACACCTGGCCTCATTAAGACAGGCGGTAACCTCATCCTTACGAAGTCTGCGTTAATTTCTTACAAATTACCCTCTTCTTTCTGGATTGGCAATGCAGGGTTCAGTGGGCCCGCCCACCCAGGGGTCAATGACCCCATCGATGCAGCAGCCCAGCAGCAACTACAGCCAGCACTCGGGCAGCTTACCCCTGGGCGGCCACGGCCAGCAACCGCCCGATGACACTCACTCCAACGCAGGGTCTGATACACCGCTGACAAACATGGTGGCGCAGATGCACTCTGGAGACAACAACAGCGAGACAGGTAAAACAAATTAAGGAATATTCACTCATTTTGGTGCCGTATTTGTTGACCAGGGTGTAGAAGCTTTATATGGTGATTTGTGACTAGTCACAAGAGTTCCTGTGTGCAAGATTCGTTAATAATAATAAATTACGTGGTACTTATAGAGCGCTTTATACCAAAAGTCTCAAAGCGCTTCACAATTATTACCCCTGTTCATCAGGCCTTGAGACCAGTTTTTGCAGCAGCTTGAGATCAGCGCATTCTGGTCTCTACCCTCACAGGTACCCATTTATACTCCTGTGTGGAGAGAGGCGATTGTAGTAAAGTATCTTGCCCAAGAACACAAGCATCATGTTCCCCTCAGGGTTCAAACCTACGTACCACGGCACGCGAGTCGAACACTGTAACCATTGGACCAAGGCACTGCACCATACTGGTATGCACCATGGTTCGTGTCTGTGGCTTGGAGTACATCAAACTACATTACACCTTTATGTTCAGAAACCTGGCTGAATGATATGGCAGCAGTGGTGTTCACTGTTCCAAGTGTCTCTTGCATCTATCTCTTTGCGGACATTGAGAGAGTATTCATGGATGAGTTCAAGGCATCGTGTTGCTTACTCATGAAATCCAGGGAAGAACAAGTTGCATATGAACCTTAGCAAGCAGTGCCAACATAGGCAACACAGGGAAATGAAACATACACTGTATCTACACCAAGTCAGACTAGTCTTATGCATCAGCTTTCAGAATCATCGGGTGTTATAATTTTTCAAAACCCTGCTGCGGTTTGAGCATTTAATGGGCCTTCTGCAAGTAGCCAGTTGACATTATGTACAGGGTTTTCCAAAATTTGGCTTAGTCTCAGGCTTTGTCTTTGGCCCCCGACTACTGAACATTTTGCTCAATAAAGGTCTGTATTTGTGTTTCCAATACAAAATCCTTTAAACCCTAACCCCCGGGTCCTTTTTGTTAGGAACCATCCTCAATCCTCCAAAATCTTCCAAGATTTTGCACTTATGTTCAAATGAAGGATACCCATTGCCTCAATCCTTCAAAATCCTCCAACAGCCCTGCCTCTCAAAATGCATTCATCCGCAATCCTCCAAAATCCTCCTCTTCTTCAAACACCATTCAGCCTCGATCCTCCAAAATCAACCGATACTAAATGTCCATGTGCCCTCAATCCTCCACAGTCCTTCGAAATTGTATGTTGCATTCAGCCTCAATCCTCCAAAATCCTTTAAAAAAAACGCTCGTAGGACTTTGGAGGATTGAGGAAGGTTAGGGTTAATATGCGACCAATCTGTTTGGGTTGGGTGTTGATAGTTTTCTATATTGTTTAGGAGCCAAAGATAGAAAAAAAAAAACAGAGACGAGGCCAAGGTTTTGTTAAAAAAAAAATGTAAAAACCTCTATGATGGCATTGCACTAATAATTCTTTTATTATTTTGGAACCACGCCACATTCTCGTATCTTAGATGGTGGGCTGGACAATAGTCTGGGTTCCGGAGAGGGTACCGGGGAAGACGATGACGATGAGAGAGCGGCCAAACGCCAGAAGAAACGAGGCATCTTCCCCAAGTCAGCCACCAACATCATGAGGGCATGGCTGTTCCAGCATCTCACTGTAAGTCAGAGAGGCTCTTCCATTGTCTGGCCTTACTCCCTGTGGAATAAGCCATCTTGCAGTCTCGTGTGAGCAACATATATGGGATGGAATACGGGATAAACACATTTTTATAAATGTCCATGTGAAAGCTGAAACAGGTCGCTTAATACTCTCATGTTGTTTAGCTCACAATTATTCAATTTTACAAACTGCCCCCTACACCATTAGTCCCTGTAAGCACCAAAGCAAGCTGTCTGTTACTATTACACCACACCAAGGGTAGCACTCTATGATGTTGTGGATTCATTAACCCCCTATGCAAACATACATGTACATTCCGTGCCAAGTTATCCTTGCAGTAAAAATCAATCAAGTGACTGTTCTCAACAGTTAGGAATTCCCAGCCTAAATAAAGTAGGATTGACTGGCTGGGACTGTTTAAGTAACTTGATACAGCTATGCTTTGACTTTGGGTCGGTGGATAAAACAGCTGTGACTACAACTTGCCTGCTTTGTCTGTTGACCCAGTTTGACTAGTCACAGTGCTTGCTTGACATACGATCTGACTGCTGGTGATGAACCTTTGTTAAAAGTATAGCAGGGGAAGTGGAAGTGAATTTTGACTGTCTGTGACTGTTTTAATAGCAAGAAGGTTAAAGAGTAGAGACAGTGTGATACAATGTAATACAAGTGCTAATGGGTTTAGAAGTGTTTAACTTTGTTTGTCTGTCCCGCACCGAGTTAATTCCGTTCTCAGTGTCAAGGTTGAAATGCAAGTGCTCAGTGTTCATGGTAGTGAATTTTGTTTTCCGTTAAGACGAGGTGCAAGTCTGTCAGAGATTGCACCCCCCCCCCCTTACCCATTTAGGCACCAGTGCAACTTGTAGTTGACGGGATGAGCAGGTGTCATGTCGTGTCCCATCAGACATAACACACAGACAGTAATTACAGTGTTACGGTGACGATGCACTCCCCTGTGCAGTATCCAGATACTGCTCACAGATCAAGCCGTAGTTTTGTAAAGTGCAAAAGTGGTTGTGTTGGGGAGATTATAGATCAATGATTCTTTGGTTTTGTTTAGTTTTCTTTTCTTTTCTCTTTGTTGTTTCTTTGTGTGTTTGTGTGAATTTTGAGCAATTATGGCAGACTTTTTTAATTTTGGGTTTCAAGGGAGTTCACAGTACATACTTTTCTGCATTGGGGGATTCCAAAGGTGGATGAGCAGGGATTTTTTTTTTCTCAAAAAGTAGGGGGGAAAGGCCAACTTGCCTGGGAAAGTCAATAAGTCGTAGAAAATAATACTGGATGAATATTTTTGGCACTGATCAGTGTTAATTGCCGAAACAATCAGCCATTTACAAGATTTTTTTTGACTTGTGGTGTTACCCAAAAGGTTATTTCCATGTTGTGCACATGGATATATCTGTTGGAATCCGGCAACCACAATAAGAAGCTTTCACTGTAGTGGTGTGACGCTCACGCGCATGCTGCCTGTGTTCTTAAAGAAAAGGCGCGCACATTTTGGTATTCCTATTGGTGGAAGGGACCCAAAGCACCTGCCTGAGCGCGACACGCGCAAGCCTTGCGCCATCGCAGGAAATGGCTGCCGCCTGATTTGTCTATATGAAAGAAGAAGTTCGGTTGACATTGTTCAGTGAGTAACCTGCAGCTGACGGTAAACTCGTCAACTCTAAAACAGTTTCTCCCCCTTGTCATGTCAGAACCACTCCATGGTCGTGACTCGGCATTTGACGCCTTTTTCTTTTCTTTTCCATTTCCCGCTTTTTCCCTCCCTTTCTCTGAACAGCACCCCTACCCATCAGAAGAACAGAAGAAGCAACTCGCTCAAGACACGGGCCTGACAATCTTACAAGTTAACAATTGGTGAGTCTGTGATCATTTGCGCGTCTGCTCGTCAGCGAAGGGAAGCGATAATCAAAGTTGGCAATAGGATTAGACGAGTGGTTACGATCGCGCAATCATGTGGTGTGCTTGTCTTTATAATGCGTGTTCATGACCCTGAAAGTGTTTCTATTCAATATTCGTTATTTCAGATTTTTATGGGTTTTTTTTTTTGACGTGATGAATTTTGCAGTTGTCTTGGTAAGTCCGCGATCATTTGCACGTCCGCTCGTCAGCGAAGGGAAGTGATAATCATAGTTGGCAATAGGATTAGACGACTGGTTACGACCGCGTAATCATGTGGTGTGCTTGTCTTTATATTGCATTTTTATGACCTTGAAAATGTTTCTATTCAATATTCGTTATTTCAGATTTTTATGGGTTTTTTTTTTGACGTGATGAATTTTGCAGTTGTCCTGGTAAGTCCGCGATCGTTTGCGCGTCCACTCGTCACCAACGGGAAGCAATGATCATAGCTGACATATGATACAGAAAGGATTAGACAACCGATTATGACTGCAATCATGCGGTGTAGTCATCTTTTCCAAAGCAATTTCAATATTGACAATTTTTCTGAGAAGTTTTAAACTTCAAGGAATTTTTTTTTTTACGTGATGAATTTGGCAGTTCCTGGCAGTGATTCGACATAAACGTTTACTTATCTCTTCTGTGTGACTATAATAATAATAATAATAATAATAATACAGCATTTATATAGCTCAACATGAATCAAAGATTCCTCAAAGCGCTTAACACTAAAACGAGAAATAATAGAAATAATCCCAATTCAAAAACCCAACTTGAACCAAAATTAGGCCGGACCAGCTAGTGTGTCAGTGAATAATCGTTAAACTGTTAAAATACTATAAATTGTAAAATACTGTTAAAATACCATAAAACTGTTAAAATACTATTAAAATACTGTAAAACGTCAAGTTAAAAACCTCAATCACACACTTATACACAGTTGCAAGAAAAGACATGAGCAAAAACAAATTACAGTTCAAAAACAGGAATAACGTGAAGACTAGTGTTTAATTACAGGTAAAAAGATGAGTCTTCAGAAATTTCTTAAAATCATCTAAAGACTTGTGACAGACAATGGAAGCTCATTCCAAAGTTTGGGAGCAGCTGCCGAGAATTCCCTATCGCCATATGATGTTGATGTTGTGGCCAGTTTTAGCAGATCACTATCACTGACTTGCATAACGATGAGTGTGAATAAAGTCAAGGAAATTGATATGAGTAACACATGCAACATGAACTTAACGCTAATAGTCACCTGAGTGTTTTGTACACGTAGTTTTGATATACTGGCCAGGTGTATGGGTATATGCACGATCCTCACTTCGAAAAATAGTGAGCAAAACAAGAGATTCTAGCACATAGTGTTGTGCCAAAACGTGTTCAGATAAAATGTGCAAATATAAGCATGTTTTGGATATCTGGCAATCGACAAGTAAATTTGTGCTGCAGGACTAATGAATACTTTATGATTGTCCCATCGGTGGTGTCAACATGAACTTAACAGTTTCCCAATCCAAATGTACAGCCAAGTGATACATTACACACCGTTTAGTTGGTAAGAAAATCCAACAACGATTAGAGAGGGATATCAAATCTGTCAAAGTTGGGGGGGGGGGGGGGGAGGGATTCTTGGAGGTGATGCAATGGAAACTGCAAATGTGTCCCGATCCAATTAGCAACTTCCTGCAAGCGCGTCCGACAATTGTCAAACACCCAGCGTATTGCATTGTTGATGTACATCATGATCACTGTCCAAGCTGGTTCCTGGGGTGTGGGGGAGTCTCTTTTGACAGGGTCTTTTCCAGGCACCTGTCAGTGATAGCTGCTCATATAATCTGACCTTTTTCGGTCAGTCCGGTCTGTCAGTTTTTGTCTTCTGTTCTTTCTGGATGGGCTACTCAACTCGCGTGCTTGCTTTTGTAGTTGTCCTGAAGACAGTCAGAGCATACTGACCGGAACGTCGAGCTTATACTTCTGGTTCTTTTCAGAACCATTCTCTTAGTTGAGAAAAAATTCGCACATGGTGTTTCCGCAAACCTTTAATTACTTAGTTCAAAACTGTTGGTTTCTCTGTCAAAGTGATAGCACCTCCGCACCTGCATATAAGTGCTCAGCGTCACAATTGATGCTCATATCACCAGTTTGTGTGCCTGAAAACTCAATCCACATGTCAGCCTGGGCGGGATTCCAACCCAGGTCATGAGAGGTGGAAGGCCAGGAAAGTACCCTTACATCAACCTGGCTCTCCAATTAAACACGTGACTAAAACAGAAATGCCTACTTTCAAAATTGGATAGGGGTTTGAGGAGGACTTTAACACGAGACTCTGCACATCAAATCCCCCAAGAAAGATTAGGGATGAACATCAGGTTTTTACCTTATATTCTATTCCACACTCCACTTCATTGTGTTGGGGAGCGATAATTAGATTGTGCACCCTAGATATAGTTTCTGGATTATGGGTTAGATTTTGACATAGATATTTGAAAGTGCTTTCCTTTTTCCTTTGCGTTTTAATAACAAATTTTAGACTTTAAGACACTAATGATCAAGGCATTCTCCAGAATAGGGATAGCAACCTACAAAATGAAACAGAAAATAAGATTATTTAGTACTTTGAGACGATTTAATGTTTTTCTTTCTTGTTGTTTTGATACGTTTTCTGCAGGTTCATTAATGCGCGACGTAGGATAGTCCAGCCAATGATTGACCAGTCCAATCGCGCAGGTGAGTTACGAATGCAATATTCCAGGGATAGATTTCATGACGCTGCTTAATACACACATGTGATTTGCAGCTAATGGAGCCACGGTCCATCTCAATGTAAACAGCGAACAGCATGCTAACTCAAGAGGCATGATTTTTGCTTAAAATGGTGACGCAATCTAATGCAGACACAAGCGTTTGCGTGTTTACGTCATGAAATGTGCTTAAGCTTTGCACAAGTTTTCTGTTTTAACTTGAATACTGCTTAGGAGATTTGCGTGCTTAGCAAACATCAGCTGGGAACCAGTCAAATGTAATATACATTGCATGACATTTTCACCGGTGTCCTGCAAAATCTCTGCTGAGCAGCATTATGAAAATGGCCCCTGACCATGCATGGCATGATGACCCCCCATACAGTGGAATCGTTTGGTCAGGGTACGAGCTGCTCAAAAACCAAATGTACCCATATCTGCAAAATTGACAATTATGGGCTGGTCACTGACTGATAGTAAACGGTTGAAAATGAGCAGTTGTGGTCGTTTGGACAAATATGTCTTGAGGTCGTCTGGGCAGGCAAATGCATGTCCCATGTTTTGATCTTGCACTTTGTTTTTAGCGTGTCTACTTGTAGCTATTTCCAACCATTCAAGGCTTGGTTATTGGAATCTGTGCCCGATTTTGTGGCGCGCTAAGCACACTTATTATTCTGCATAGGGCCTGTATGCTATGGAGACTGTAAGCAGTAAGCGCAGCAAAACGCATGCCAATCTCATAGCATTTTTTTTGAATTTGTGATGTTTACATTGTGCACACAACCGTATGCACATCCACACTGTGAAATAGTAAGCACAACATTTCTCAATGTTGAGCAGAGTTTGAAATTGGGGCTGTAGGTATTTGGGTTTGGCCACACTTTGTCTTCTGGCTCGAAGTACATGGCTCGAAGAACACGCAACAAATTTTGTTCTGGATGCCCACAAATCTGTGGCGTCTTCATGTGAGTGTAAGGCCGTGTCTGAATTGTTTGGCTACGGCTTGAAATTACACACAAGTCTATGAGAAGTGGCTGCAGCGGCTTCCAGTGGCTGCAGCCGCTACCATCCACTCATGTGTGATTTCAAGCTGTAGCCAAGTGATTCGGACACGGCCCAAGGCACCGTCGGTAATATGTTCCCAGTGTCTCCCTCAACTTTCTCTTTGGAACCACTGAGGGGATATTTGTGCACGGAATCCATAATAGAAACCTGTGCTATATGGATTTTGTGCACGAACAGTAGATGGCGCTTTTTATCTCTTTCTAATGCCCCTATTGGGGGGACACAGTGTGTACGCGTACTGGTTCACGCTTGCATGGCATGAAGTACGCCCGACTAATATTATTCTGGTGAGTGTGCACAGTGCGACGGTAACGCGTTCGAACGTCCATTCCAGTGGTCTCCCCCAACTCTCTCTCTGTAACCATTGACGGGGTACTTGTGCACAGAGCCCATAGCCTCGTGATGTAGACGTTGTAACGTCTTGTTTCATTATAACAACAAATTCTGCCTCTAAATTTAGTAAGTTCTCTGCTGCCCTTATGCTTGCGGCTTCTGTGCAATGAACAGGGCTCTGTAAGCGGAGAAATCACATGCTTAACTGCGCCATGAAATCGGTCCCTGGACAAAGTTTGCCTGAATTCCTAAGCTTATTGTTCCAATTACAATAAACGGCTGGTGTATGTCATTGTACTAGTGGCCTAATAATACCAGGATATATTACTCATTGCGGTCTGTGTTGTAACGGGAAAAATATCTGTATAGGAACCACATTTGTGCTCCATTTTTTTCTTTTTCTAGTTTTATGCCTAGGTAAAGAAAATTTCTTGTATGTAGCTAATGAGTAGTAAGGTCTCAGTTAAAAATTTATTGTAGTTTTTTGCATCCCAAAAATCAGTTAAGCAAAATTGCAAAAAAAGGGTTGTGACAAAGTTACTTGATATTGGTACCAGGAAATGATAATAATTTTCTAGCATTGATTGCACATGCTGTGTTAAATAGATAGTTTGCACGGCAGCCATCTTTGAGGTGTGTCCTTTTGTTCAATGGGGATACCCATGAGTGCCTTCATTGTTAATGAATTAACATAACAAAACCACCTCCAAGATGGCTGCTGAACATGCTGAATGCAATCCACCGATAGTGGTATACTGATTTTTTATTGCGGGTCAAGGCAGAGGTGAAATATGCATGCAAATTTTCCACTGATTGCAAAGATTTATTTTCAAAAGTGAAAACTAGGTGAACAGTTGTTCTTTAACCAACTTAACAGTATTTTAGAAATTGATCGACATTATCTCATGCAAAAAATTTCTCTTGCATTTTTTTTTTCTAAAGCCCGGTTCATACTCTGCGCGAAAGCAAAAGCGAACGCGAATTTGTGACGTCGTGGCAAGTATTCCTGCTTCAAATTCGTAACAGTTGAACATATTTCAACTCGGGCGAATTTCGCAGTGAACGTTTCATGACATCTAATGCGCTTCGCATTCGCATTCACATGAAGTATGAACCGGGCTTAAGAGATTGGTTTCATGCCATCAAAACGTGGCAAGTATTCCTGCTGCGAATTCGTAACAGTTGAACATATTTCAACTCGGGCGAATTTCGCAGCGAACGTTTCATGACATCTAATGCGCTTTGCATTCGCATTCACATGAAGTATGAACCGGGCTTAAGAGATTGGTTTCATGCCATCAAAACGATGTTTTTAAGATAAATTTCGACAAAACTTGGTTTAGCCTCAGTTTGTTTAGACATTATGTATTTTTTCTTTGATGACAAAGTAGAGTTGAGTCAGATTTCCAGCTTTTACCAGAGCTCTCCCAACATTTAAGATTTCCATGCACTCTTACAGGTTTGCAAAAATACCCCTGCCAATTGTTCAAAGCGACCTTCACTCAAAGTTCACTTCCCTAGTAATCAGAAGCACTCAAACTGTTTCGGAACCTGTTTTAAACGGTGACATTTTCTGGGTTTACCCCGACGGTGATGTCGATTGGGGTCCTACCGTCTAGAAATGTCTTTGTGTGAGCGTGTACATGTGTAGCCGGACAGGAAAATGATTCATATTGTGTGCATTCCTTACCCTCCCACAAGTGTAGGTCTGGCTAAAGAGTTGTTTCAACCCTTCATATCCTCTAGACCCCGGGGCCCTTTTTTCCAAAGGACTTTTCAAATCGTTCGACCCGGCGTCTTTTTTGCACCGAGCTGCTCTCTGGTATTTAAAAAGTCTCGCAGTGCTATTCGAATATATCATTTCCACGAATATTCCTTTTCAAGTCACGTATGTAGGAAAATACTCCGTGAGCCATTTCTGTGTTGCCTGTTGTTTAATCGTTTCGTCCTGTCTTTTTTGGCTGATGAAAATTCCAGGAAAAAAGTGATCAGTTCTTGTCTCGACAACCCTTGTATAAAGCTGACATCGCCAGAATCGCAATCTGGCAATAGTGTACGGTTCAAATTATTGTTTACTTTCCATGACTAATTTAAACTTGAGTTCCCCGTGCTATTTTCGAGTTTCATCCCGAAAAAAATAGATGCCTTTTCAAAATCTTAATAGCAATACAAAACTTATTCACTTTTGAATGAGACATCAACCGAAAAAATTGGCCCATGTTTAGTTAATGAATTATTACTTTACGATTTTGCATTATTGGCTGCCAGACAAAAATTAGGCTGGTTCCCGCCCCACAATGGGTATCAATAACGTACGGATCGGGTGCCAGTCTGCTTGCAAAGTGCATCTGTTTATGCCCAAAACAAAAAACTCTTTTTTTTTCAGGGAGTTGCAGATGTCAAATAAAGAGGAGAAAAACAGGTTTTTTGGGGGTTGGAATAAAAAAAGTTGGTAATCTATTACAAGAAAAAAACCCCGAAATTTGTTGAAGAGCATGGGGATGTAACTTTGTGATGAGAACTGGGTCTAATTTCATGGCTCTGAAATATCTCTGAATTAAATAGCAACTAATTCTAAGCTGACAGTGTATTACTCGGGCAAGTAAGGACTCTTCTCAAAAATGGATTTTGTGTTTACAGGGTCAGCGCAGAATTTCTCTGCTTGTTCTGTTAGCACAGTACATTTTGGCGCTGCATGCATGCGTCAGTCCCCTAATGGAGGAAATTGTGCCCAAATGGTTAGCAGAAAAACATTTCTGCACTAACAGTGTTTGCAAGGAAAAATGTCCGCTAGCACAGACTTCTGTTACTGAAAGGAGCCATGAAAAATGGGCCCTTCGAGTGTGATATGAACTTAAACTGTATTCGTTTTCTGGTTTATTAGGGGGAGGAGACTGAAGCATAGAAACAGTGTCAGAATTGGTGGGGGGGGGGGGGGGGGAGAAAAAGGGGGCAACGAGTCATTACCTGTCCAATTCGTCAGGTCTGTGAGCCCGGGGGGGGGGGGGGGGGGGGGGGGGGGGGGGGGTTAATGCCCCATTTCTACTATGGAATTTTGATAATGAGTGCATGTAAGGAGGTCTAGTGTCAACTTCAGTCTCTATTTACTCCATAAGGATAAAAGGTATACGAAGGTAGCTGAACCCTTACTTTGTAGACTCTGTAACCAAGCACCAGTGCTACGTTGTATTGTATTGTATTACATTGTATTGTATTGTATTACAATGTATTTGTTGCCTGATGAAACAACTGCCAGATTTGGATGATACAGGAAGTAATGTGTCAACAAGTGATTTGTACTGTAACAATTTGAACTCAACATGTTTGTCCTGTTGTCTTTGATGTAAGTTACTGTACATGTAATTTTGAATTTTTTTTTCAAAAACCAAAAAGTCTTGAGTATATGTAACGAGCTGGCTTTCTCGGGGGGATTTGGGGCGGTTTCTGTTTTTGTTTTCCATTTCTACAGTTCCGGGAATGTCTGGCGGCTCCGCCTATAGCCCCGATAGCCAACCAATGGGGGGGTTCGTGATGGACACTCAACAGATGCACCTACGGCCCCCACCCCCTGGGGATTACTCGGATCAC